CAGGTTGAAATGTGTGTGTTGTCTTACCCAGAGTACCTTGGAAGAAGATACAAAAGAAAGGACAGGGGCTCTCCAAAGGAAAATCCTTCCCCCCCACCGCACCCCCAAAGCCATCTCTGGATGGACTTAAGAAACGAAGACATCTGTACCATAAGCCTTTCCAGGGCCGAAGCAGAACTGTCCTCCCTCACTTAACCTTGGCAGTCACAAGCCAGCTTTTCATTTCCCCTGCTGCAGTCCAGGAAGGCAGGAATAATCACATGGCCACACAGCTAGAGGCTGTCAGCCCAACTTGGCGAATCACCTTTCCAAACACCTTTGCAATTAGGAGGAGACAGGTAGCTGCTAACTGGGTCAGGCCTGCTCTCCGGACCCCGTCTCTGGGCATCAGAGGCAACTGTGGGGAAGACCTCCCAGGGCCGCCTCTGTTTCACATGTTTTTCATTCACTTGCAGTTTAATAAGCCTTTTACGTTGTCCCCAGAATTGTCGGTGCAAGTTCAAGGGAATGCTGATGGCTTCCTGCATGTAGGGCGATGGGATCTGTGATCAAGCTGTAATGCTGACTCCTCACAGCCTCCGGCTGTCCCGTCATTCACTGCCGCCCACCAGCTCGGAGTACTTGCCGATTAAGCCTTTCTTTCACCTGAGCTTTCTCTGTTGTTTAGGGGGACAGATTTGTGGGGAGCTAGTATTGTCCATGTAAACGTTCAGGGTGCCCCAGCATGCACAGGGAAAAAAGATCCTTGGGCTGGAAGTCAGGAGACCTAGATTCTAGACCCAGCTCTGCTGCCAGCTAGCTGTGTGACCCTGGGCAAGCTGTTACCTTCTCTGGCTTTCACACTTTTTCTGAGGTCTCTTCTGGTTTTAGTTAAGAGTATATCATTCCAAGTGGGTCTCTAGGCTCTTATCCCTCCAGAACTCTCCCTTCTTCTGTTTGACTACTGTGGTAAATAATTTTATGTCATGTAGCTTCTGACATTACAGACCCACAAACTCAGCGTATGTTCTTTCTCCTATTGAATTCTCCAGTTATGGACTGTATGCCAGAGAGTAAACGGGAGACCAGGCATGACTCAGATTCTGCCTGGACTTTTCAGAAGGCCCGGTGGTATCATATTTTTAAAAGCCAGTTGCACCCACGTCTACAAATTTTTCTTTATCCAAATCTAGTAGAAATCACCCAACCTCGTGTGCATCTGTTGTTCAGGCAGCCGGACCACATTTGTACCAAAGAAATACGCAGGCCTTGGGGAACCTAGACCTTCTTCAGGGTGACTTCATGCTCCAAGTGGACATCTTTCAGATTAGAAACTAGAACCCCAGCCATCAATCAGCTAGCGTCATCAAATGAGAGAGACCCAGACTCCAGTACCAATACCTGGTCTACGTGGGGAGGTCAAGACCTGGGAGGGGCTTTGGGGGGGGGGTGCAGTGTTCTGCTTGCTATGATTTAATTATGATTTTCTGATTCAGGAATGTGGAAGCAACTATGAATGAGTCAGCTCTTAGGACCAACTGTCAAGCATGTGGCTTGTAATCTGCTCTCATCCTCCTTGTCCAAAAAGAGTTCACAGTTTGACAGCTCACCAGCTAGTGAAATATTTGTTTCCTCCACTGCTCTAATTCATACCCTGGGGACCTGAGGATCTTGGACAAGGAAAGGGCTCCCCAGCTAGGCTCTTTGCTGCTGGTAACTTCCCAGTGGTTTGAATTACAATGACTTAGCTGCCCTCGTTTTTCTCCCCCTATAGTACAAATGGTGTCAGAACCCTCTCTGAGTGAAACAGAATATACTCTGTAATTATTCTGTCAAGAACTAGCATTTATAATGAGGCATTCCTGCTGGTGGCCTCCAGAGGTCCCTGTTCTATAACCACTAAGTACCACTTTAATGAGCTTTTCCCTAAAAATTGTCAAGAGCTCTTACTGACATCCTTGGGTATTATTTTAGTTAACAGTTTATTTAGAGAAAAGGGCCCATCTTCACCGGGCGAAGGGTGGGCACTTGGAATATCAAGAGGAATCAACAGTAGGCACTCTGCCCCGAGAGAATGGAGGGAACTTGGAAAGAGGGGAAAAAAGGCTAGTTACCAGTTATGATGGAAATGTGAGACTGATGTGAAATGCAGAAAAAGGAATGGTTATTAACAGAGTGTTCCTGTTTATCTAATACAAAACATTTAATCCATTTCTCAGAACATATCTCTGTGACTGCAGAGAGTAGTTCTGTCACAGTTTGAGAGCATCCAGTTTCTTCTGATCTGATTCTGTTTGCACTGAGCAATCTTCTGAGGTGAATTGAATTTCCTTAGTAGATTTTCCAACTGAGAAGTATAATAACCAGCTGTTATCATTTTAGTTCTCGTAACAGTTACTATTCTTCCAGTAAATTGTCCTGCTGATTTCTGTTCCTTCCCTGGGCAGTTTAGTTAGCAGGAATCTGTTCTTCCTGGGCCAGCAAAAAAAAAAAAAAAAAAAAATCAAATGTCTAGACCAACAAGGCAAAGTGTTTTAAAACCCTAGAACTTCTACAGTCGTACAGATTCTCCAGCTCCCCTGTCAGCAGTTAACCACATCTCCTGAACATCCACTAAAATAATGTCTTCTGCTTAAGTCTTAAATGTCCAGGGGACATTGATTGCTCCTTCACCCCAGCTCCCATCCTGGGTGCGGGATGAGAAACCTGGCTCTTCCTGCCCTCCTGGGCAGCCGTCCCCCTCAAGCTGTAGGCTGTGGACACCAAGGTATAGCCTAGCTTGTGGTCGGTACAACTTCCCTCTGCCCTTCTTCACACAGGTCGTCAGCTGTTTCTGTACACCTCCACCCTCAGATTCTAGAAAACACCAATCAACTCTTCTTCGTACTACTAAGCCACCTTAATGGTTATCTTGTGGATCCATTCATATGAATAGGAAAAAAGTAAATTTTTAAAGAGATCAGGCGACTTCATCAGGGTCACACAGCAAGTGGGTGGTTGGCACCGGGACCAGAGCGCGGGTCTGGTAACTCCAAGGATTCTCTCTCCTGTACCCCTTTGCCCCCTGCCTGGCTCTAGTGTTTATATGTGCTGACCTCAGGGGCCCTGTGGTGAATACAGGGAGGTGACAGAGGCCAAGTGAAAGGCCAAATGCAGAAGAAAATGACAGGAAAGAATGAAGATTACAGGACTGAAATCAGCAGAGAAGGCACAATGACTCTAATTCAAGTTCCCACTGCTTCTGGATGAATCTAATCTGATACTTAGAACACTTCATTGCTAGGTGATTGATAAGTAAAAATCAATCCTTTTCTTTCCTCCAAGGTTCATCTCACTTAAGAGCATCCTCTGTAAGCAATAACATAGTTTATACATGCCCCTAGATCAGGTTGGAGGGCAGAAGGGAGAAAAGGCAATGGAAACGGCCTAGCCCTTCCTGGCTTGTTTTTCATGAGAACCCAATTCGCACATGATTGCCAGTGTTTAACAGTAAATGGCAGATAAAAAGAAAATGGTAAGAGAGGAGAGATTTTCTAAGGAGGTCTGGAAGAAGAAAAACAAAAAAGGCTGCAGACACTGAGCTAGTGAGATGGGACCCACTGTTACCCCAGGGGCATGGTTGGAAGAGACAAAGTGTTGGGCAGGCAGCCTGTAGGGAGGAGGGGCAAGGAGCTTATCAGTGCAGGTATTTCCTGGCACTCAGCGTGGAAGGGTGATGTCCGAGGGTACTGCCACAGGCCGCCTCATTCCCCACCTCCCGTTGTTTCACTGCCTACTTATTTCCTTGACTTTTTATTATCATATTCTTTTTTTTTTAAAGATTTTATTTATTTACTTGGCAGAGAGAGATCACGAGTAAGGACTCGATCAGAGGACCCTGAGATCATGACCTCAGCCGCGGGCAGAGGCTTAACCCACTGAGCCACCCAGGCCCACCCCTTATCATATTCTTTCCTGCAGGAGGGAAGTGCCAAGGTGGAGACTATTGTAATATCAGGCGTTCTTAGTTTTTTGTTTTTTTTTCTAGGCACTCTTCTTGTGATAATTTACTAGGAAAGCCACCAATGAATACTCTAGACCATTAGAGTCCCATCCTTAAATATTATGTGGACTTTCACCTTTTAAATTTTAACTGTGATGGAGGAGCCTGGTTGGGTCAGTGGGTTGAGCCTCAGACTCTTGGTTTTGGCTCAGGTCATAATTGATACAGGGTAGGGGGGCAAGCCCCAGTCGGGCTCCCAGGCTCCATGCTTGGCAGGGAGTCAACTGGAAATTCTCTCTCCCTTTCCATCTCCCTCTGCCCCTTGCCCCACACAGACTCATGCTCTCTCTCTCTCTCTAAAATAAATGGATGAATCTTTTAAAAAAATTTTTTTAAATTTTTACTATGGTAAAAATGTATATTAACATAAAGATGCCAATTAAACCATTTTTAGGTGGACAAGTTATCAGCATTCATTACACTCACTGTTGTACAACCATCACCACTACTTCCAAAGTGTTTCCATCACCCCAAACAGAAAATCTGTATCCACTGACCACTAACTTCCCATTCCCAATACCACCAACCCCTAGTAACTGCTAATCCACTTTCTGTCTCTATGAACTTAATACCAGCCATTCTTACTTTTTTTTTTTTAAAGATTTTGTTTACTTATTTGACAGAGAGAGACACAGCAGCAGGGTGAATGGGAGGAGAAGCAAGCTTCCTCACTGAGCAGAGAGCCTGATGTGGGGCTCCATCCCAGGACCCTTGGGATCATGACCTGAGCCACCCAGGCGCCCTCCCCCCAGGCATTCTTACTTAACTGTATATATCTCCTAAAATGTAGCAGCAGTAGAAAAGAATGGAACCTGAGGTGAAAAGGAAAGGCTGTGGCAGGTTTAAAACCAAATTCTCATTCTCTTGAATATAGTTGAAAACTTTTTATTACAACCGAGTAGTTATATCCCACGCATTCAGAGAAAGCAGACTGAAAGTCCCTCTGCCGTGTGCTAATTCAGCATCTTTCTTCTTGCAGTGACCATGCAGCAGGTGGCCAGGACCGTGGCCAAAGTGGAACTCTCGGACCACGTGTGTGATGTGGTGTTTGCGCTCTTCGACTGCGACGGTGAGTAGGGCTCTCTGGAGTCTGGCCGGAAAATGGAGCCCGACTGTCCTTGAAATGGACACTGTTGATACCAGAGGCTAGCAGAGCGCTCCAGTGCACTTGCCTGTGCCTCTTGAGCCTACAGCAGTAGCTCAGCCCTCAGCACCGTGACACTGAGAGCTAGAACCCCCGGTCTGAGCTTGTGTTTTCCATTTCTTCTTATAATTCCAATTAGCCTGTAGGCCTAAATGAATGTATGACCATAAGGATCTTTAAAAAAGGAAACAATCAACTCTAGGGGTGATCTTAAAAGGGAAATAAACTCAATTATAAAAGCTCAGAAAAGGGGACAAAAATATTAGATCCAACTTGCTGCTTCATAGACTAAGAGTCTATGTCTAGATTATCTGTCTAGAAAGAAGGTGATTATCTGTCTAGAAAGAAGGTGGTCCTGATCTTCCCCGCACCCCCCAGAGCACATCGCAGTCATTCGCATCCCATTTCTGCCTTCCAGCTCGCAGCGGTGTGTCTGCGACCGCTCTGTAGCTTAGCCCACGTGAGAGGTTCCCCTGTGGTGTCGGTTCTCAGCTACATTGCCTGATGCAATACTGCTGCTATTCACCGTGGAGGCTCACACCTTTTCTCAGTGCTTACTAAGAGCCAGGCACTGTGCTAAGCTGCTCAGGTAACCCTCTGAGTCGGAGACATTTTTCACGACATTTTCCAGATAAGGACGCTGAGACTCGGGTGAGGTCATTTCCCCAGGAGCACATAGGTAATGGTAAGGTGGTAGTAGCACAGCTAAGCTGTGAATCCAAGCTGGCCGCCTCCCTCTATGCTCTGTTCCCTCCCCTGCTTGTTTCCCAGCGGGGATTCATGCTCAGCTTCCTCCAGGAAGTGAAGCTAATGGAATCCCGGAACCAGGTCAGAAGTTCCTGCCTTGGTAAAACCTTTGTTCTGGCCCCAGCATAATAATGAAACACTCTGGCTTTTTCATTCCTCAGCTTGTTTCAGTTTGTCTTCATTACTACAGGTTACACTCTCTCCGTGTACGTGACCTAACTTCCCTACTATACTGTGAGCTTTTTTAAGTTTTTACTTCAATTCCAATGAGGCGGGTGTTACATTAGTTTCAAGTGTACCATATAGAGATTCAGCGACTCCATACATCCCCCCCTCGGCCCCGCCCCATGCACATCACAGCTCCCTCCTTAATCCCCATCACCTGTCTCACCCGTCCCCTCACCCACCTCCCCTCTGGTAACCAGCCACTTGTTCTCTACAGTTGAGAGTCTGTTTCTTGCTTTATCTTATTTTTTTTTCCTTTGGCTTGTTTTGTTTCTTAAATTCCACATGAGTAAAATCATACAGTATCTGTCTCTCTTTGATTTTGCTTAGCATTTATACTCTCTAGCTCCATCCATGTCATTACAAATGGCAAGATTTCATTCTTTTTATGGCTGAATAATATTCCATTCTGTGTGTGTGTGTGGACAGACATACATACACACCATACCTATTTTATTCATTCAGCAGTTGATGGACACTTGGGCTGCTTCCATATCTTGGCTATTGTAAATAATGTTTTGCTGTAAATAAATTGTGAGCTTTTTAAGGGTTGTTGCAAGGCCTTTATTCTGTTGGACCCCTCCATAGGACCTCAGATAGTACTTTGCACATAACAGATGTCATTAACTTGAGTTATTGAAGTTATCTAGTTGAACTTGAGTTATTTAAACCTCCCAACTGCACCCACAACCAGGTCTGAGTGGAAGAAAACTGCAGTGTTAGGGCAAGAAGATGGCCTCACCCTCACGTAGGGTTGGGTCATTTTCTAGTGCTGCCCTGTTCGACATGATATTCTACTAGTTTCATGTGGGTATTAAATTTAAATTAGCTAAAATTAAAAACAATTTAAAAGTCAGTTCCTTGGTCTCTGTAGCCACATTTTAAGTACTCAGTAGCTGCATGTGACTAGTGGCTACTGTCTTAAATAGCACAAATAAAAAAATTTCCCTCATCAAAGAGAGTTCTAAGGAACAACACTGCTCTAGAGAGGTTACCATTCCTCAGATTTTGGTTTTTATCCTTATCATTTCTGGGTGGCTTGAGTTTTTTCCAAAAACCACAGTTTTATAATTTTTGAAGCCAGAGAGCTGCTCTGCAAAGTAAACATGGGAATAAAGGCAGGCAGCCTCACAGCTCCCCACTTCTCCTACGAAGACCTGAGAAATGAAATTTGCGCCTTTTAGAAGGAGGTTCTGTCAGTATCTACTTGAATCCACCTTTTCAAAAATAATTTAACATCTCCGGGGCTTATTTTCTTAATCTATAGAAAAATGAAGTATATATTAAATTTAAAAATCCATTGTTATTTTTATGCACTAGATCTTAGGTCAGAATGCCAAAGGACATTGACTTTTCAGACTTGTTGACCTGAGAATTTAGAGTTGCACTCACAGATCACACATGCACACAGATGACAATTCAGTCATGCACCTGCTTCATGAGTAAGCCATTCACCTTGATCAGCTCTGGCCCTAGGGAAGAAGGAAGCAAATCCCATGGCAGTCTAAATGACCTCAGATTTTTTAAGCCTCTCTTTATAAAAATATTAAGAATCTCATTTGGACCTTTTTAAATCCTTTTAGTTATATTCTTTTTTTTTTTTTAATTTTATTTATTTATTTATTTATTTGAGAGAGAGTGTGTGCACAAGTTGGGGGAAGGGCAGAGAAGCAGACCCCCTGCTGAGCGGGGAGCCCTACCAGGACTCCACCACAGGACCCTGGGATCATGACCTGAGGCTGAAGGCAGGCGCTTAACTGACTGAGTCACCCAGGTGCCCTTTTAATTATATTCCTTTTTTCTTTTTAAAGATTTTATTTATTTATTTATTTGACAGACAGAGATCACAAGTAGGCAGAGAAGCAGGCAGAGAAAGAGAGAAGGAAGCAGGCTCCCCATTGAGCAGAGAGCCAGATGCGGGGCTTGATCCCGGGACCCTGAAATCATGACCTGAGCCGAAGGCAGAGGCTTTAACCAACCCACTAAGCCACCCAGGTGCCCCCTTTTAATTACATTCTTAACAAGCCATATCACTGATCACTTTTCAATCAGCCAGGCTACTTTTTAACTCTTTATGTTGAAGTATACACATACAGAAAAGTGCAAATATCATTAAGTATGCAGCTTGCTAAATTTTTAAGAACTGAACACACCTGTGTAAGCAGTATTATCCAGAAATATCACATTGGCAGGACCACAGAGGTCCTGGTCCAGAAACAGGACCTGGTGCCGCCTTCTAGCCACTTCCTCTCCCATGGGCAGTCCCTCTCCTGACTTTCAGTACCATAGGTTAGGTCTCCCTGGGTTTGCTTGTTTGTTTGATCTTGCTGTGAGGTATCTTTGAGGCTGTCCATGCTCCCTTCAGCCAGCAAACATGAGCCAGTGTAGGTTTTCAGGTACTCTGTACAGAAGTAGACCCTGTGTTCTTCTTTCCACTCTCTTCCCAGACCAATCGATCGTCAGTAAAAGTCTATTTTATGGTTTCCTATTGTCTTATCACCCCCAGTAATGGCTGCCATTCTTTCAAGCAGACATTTACTCCTGGGCATGTAGTCAGTGGGTAACTATCCTCTACTGTTGAAATGGTTACTCTTCCGTGTGGCTTGAGAGGTTGACCTTTGGTTAAATGAGATATTCTCCAAGTTCCTCTCCAGACCTGAGAGTTTGTCACTGAAGAGGGTGGAATGCGAGGCCATGAGAAGATGGGCTTAACCCAAAACCAGATTTTAATTTGGGTTTTTACCATGAACCGCCCCCTCCCTCTCTCACCTGGACTATTCCTGACTGACTCCCTACTGCCGTTCTCCAGTCCCATCCCCATATATCCAGCCAGAGGAATCCACCCAAAATGGAAATCTTTAATTCCATCTCACTTACTTGCAGTCCTTTCCTGGTGCTCCACTGCCTAGAAGATAAAGCACAAACCCTTTAGTGAAAATACAAGACCTCTGGGGACCTGTCTCCTGCCCGCCTCTTCCGTTTACTTCCCCACCTCTGTGTGCACTTCCTAACTACTCAGCAGTCGCCTTGCTCCCTGCCTGTGCCTTTGTTTATGCTACTGCCACTACCTGGAATGCCTCCCCATCCCACTCCCCTTTACTTGGCCAATTTCTGCTCATCCTTTGGGATTCAACTTAGGAGTGGCCTCTAGGAAGCCTTTACCTTCCGTACTGCACCGCCCCCAGCCCGGGTTCGATCCCTTCCTCTGGTCCCACAGAGCATCTTCTCTTTACCCCACAATGGCATTTACCACACTGTTGAAATAATGTATTTGTCTCTCCCACAACCTGGGAGTATCTCAAGGGACAAAGTCCTGTTTACCTCTTTATTCTCAATTCCTATAGTATATTCTTGTTCAACTTTTGTCACACACACTAAACTCTCACCGAGTGTAATCGGAAACATCAAGGAAGGAGCAAACCATTTGTTTGAATTTGGCTGTGAGAGTACACTGGGCTTTGGAACCCACGTTGCATGAACAATGGAATTTTCTCAGTGTCTTTGTTCCAAGGCCTTCACTTATCCCTCTTGTGTTTGCCTCTTCCTCTAGGCAATGGGGAGCTGAGCAATAAGGAATTTGTTTCCATCATGAAGCAGCGGCTGATGAGAGGCCTCGAGAAGCCCAAAGACATGGGCTTCACCCGCCTCATGCAGGCCATGTGGAAATGTGCACAGGAAACTGCCTGGGACTTCGCTTTGCCTAAACAGTAACACAAAACTGCAGGAGGGACCTCCTCCTCCACCTAGAGCACCCTGACCCCTGAGACAGAGCCTTGGCACAACCCTTCCGGCTGCTGCTTCTGGAAGTAGTGCTCCCTTCCTCTTGGGAATGATCTCAGGATTCAGCCAGTCTCCCCTCTCCCCCCTTCCCCTGGCTCGGCATTTCTTCTAGGCTCTGCTTCTGCCCAGTGATCATCCCCACAGGTTCTCAGAAACATGAACAAGTCCTAAAAAGTCAGACTTCTGGCACCTTCCTCAGCACTATGCCTTCAAGCACCCTATGGATAAAGAATGCAGGGAACCATCCACATACCTGCCAACCCTGGCGACCGCTCAGTTCTTCAGTCCTTTTTGCTGTGGATTTACATTGGGAGCATTCCTTGCTTTTCCTCCCACTGGTGACTTTAAGCCACAAGTTGGGCAGATGTCTGAAGGGCAGAAGGAAGACTGTGATGAAGGGTCATGGGGAGGGGTCGGGTGGCCTGAGCTGGAGGGAAGCCTGGGCCAGGGAAACGACCCATGTTGGTCCCCAGGGTGGCTTCGAGGCCTGCTCCGGGCAGGTGATATGCGCAGCGGGAATGGAGCAGGGTTTGGAATTTCGATCAGCTGCTTCACGGCTCTGAGGCTCCCTGAGAGGACTCCGCCAGCACTCGGTGCCTGACGAGCAGCAGTGATTGAGTCCGTGTTCCCCGCAAGTGCCATTTCCCTCCAGGAGTGCGTCTCTGAAGCCGAGGCCTGGCTCACACCCGGTCTGCCCGCTGTCTTAAACACTTGTAAAATATCACTTTAATTATAACAGTTTGCAGTAAACTCCCCCCCCCAACCCGCCAAAGGCTCTTATGTCTTTTATTTTAGGATCCTCTGGGGTACTTCTCTTTTCATTTCTCCACTGGGTTTGAGATCCTGCTAGCAGCAGACGTGTTTTCTTTCTACTAGTGTCTGGTTCTTTCTATTGAAGGGCAACTGTAGACACAAAAGGTGAGGGTGTTAGGAGGTTAGCGGTGGCGCTGTCCCCACACAGTCTGGGTGGCATTTCATCTTGGGCCAGGTGCACGTGCCTTGATAACTCAGACACCACGATTAGGAACAAAGGTGGGGCAGGAGAGTATATGAGAATCCTCCAGTGTGGTGGACCTCCATGTAGGAGGCCCAGCACCCAGTGTGTTATATGGACTCCACTCTCACGAACGCCGGTGGCCTTGAACAAGCAAGCAATTTTCCATCTGTTTCCTAACTCTAAAATGCCAGGGTTGAGCTTTAATGGGCTCTCAGATTTCCTCCAGGTCCAAAAGCCTCTTGTTCACTTCTCCAGAATGTCTGCAGCCTCCAGAGCCTCCCCGTGATGCTCCCTGGCTTCAGAGCATCTCCAGTCCAGTGTAATAACCTCCACACCGAAACTCCAGTGCTTCCTGCGAGACCTGCAAGTTGGCAGGGAGGGTTTATCTGCCAAATAAAGTAGAGGCCTGGGTCTGTGACAGTATCAACCCCAGCATTTTCTCCAGAGCAAGCTAATAACCTCGTTTCCAACATCCTTTCTGGGAGCAGATTCAATTCTCTCTCAAAGGAGTTTGCCACTCACCCACCTCATCTACCCTCCGGTCTTTCTCTCCGTTCTTGGGATTGGAATTCCCGGCACCCAAGTGCAGCCTTTGCCTTGCTCATTGCTCCGGAGCTGAGGCATCAGCGAAATGTGAGCTTGTCTTAAATTGGTCCCAGGATCTCCAAATCACTGTTATCCACAATCCTGGTTTCTCCAGCCTGAAAGAGAAATCCCATTCACAGCCTTCATGGGGCCGTCGTTTCCCTGCAAGAAGAGATCTGCTGATTGGCCTGGGTTCACTGAAGCTGAAAGGCAGAGCACAGCAGGGGATGGTAAAGATCTTCCCTACATCTTGAAACCCAGCGTCAAGGGCCCTCACCCATCACAGGTACACGGAATTCCAACCGAGCTCCTTTAGCCACCAGGAGTGGCAGAGGCAGCACCGGGGGTCCAGGTGCTCAAGAAGACAGGATGATCATACTTTGGCACAATTGGGTTTAAGGTGCAGGTGAGAGGTACCAGCTAAGTCACCCAGAGGAGGCCAGGGTCCCCCAAGGGAGTCCTTGAGCAAGGCGGCATGGGAGCGGGCTGAGAGGGTTCTACGAGGCAGCATCTGGGATAAGCTGGGAGCACCGGGGAACACAAAAGGCTGATAACGTGCTTCTCTGTTCATTCAGACTGTTGCTCTGCCTGCATAGAATAATCTCCCCCCTCTTCCTTCAAGCCTCCACTCCAGCTGTCCCCTGCTTGAGAGGCCCACCTGGGCCATCTTCCTGACAAGACAAGTCACCCCTCCTCTGCCTCCCAAAGCTCACACCCCCCCCCAACAACACTGCTGTAATCGATGTAATGTTTGTGAGATCATCGCCCCCAAAGTTCAGACCCAGAGCAGTGACATGGTCAAAGAAACAGTCCACCACCAAAAGCCGATGTTATAATAACTCTTGAACAATGTAAAAACAGTATTAGCAATGCCTCCGTAAATTGCTCCCACCTACCCACAGCCGTTCTCTGTTTGCTGCTGTTTTTCATTTCTTTAAAAAACAAAGAACAAAACATGAAGAATTGTCCAGCTCTAGCCCTTTAGACTTCAGGGAGGGAAAGAAACTGAGTGGGGGACCCAGGCTGCTGTGCTTCCTTGCGGGCCTGGGCTCAGCGTCATCCACAAGCACGAGCAGAGAGGCAAATGGGCTTAAGGACATGTGTACTCTTCAAAAATTACCATATTAATAGCTTTTAGTGCCTCACCTAATTTTAGCTCTGGCTGAAGCATGTGCACTTGAAATGAATTGGAGGCTAAGGAGGGAGAAGTCCAGACCATGGCTGCTACCAGATAGGAAAGAAGGGACAGCAGCCTGGGAGCCAGCAGCCAGGTCCCCCAGCTGGAGCATCCTCTCCAAGCGTTAGCGTGGCCCAAGCCAGATTATGTGCCCCCAAGAGGCTTATAGAAGGAAGGACGGACCGGAGGCGCGCGTTCAGCTCTCAGGCTTCAAATGCCACCTACTGGCAAGAAGGCTTAGCACAGGGAGTCTGGTCTGGAGCAGGTGAGGGGAGGCTCCCTGAATCCAGCCTCCCCAGCCCTGCTCCTGAGAGTAGCCCCCCACCAGGGACCACGGTGGCACGGTGGGGGGCGGGATGAACAGCCAGAGGTGGACCCTAACCATGAGGAGAGACGGTATGGATAGGATTATAATTGAGAAGCGGAAAGGAGCAATGCTTGGGGATTGTTCCTGTGGCTCCGGAATAGGAATTTTTACTAGCAAATGAGAGGGTGTGAGTTACTCTGTTCACTCCACAACTCTTTACTGCTCACCTGCCATGTGCCAGGCACTGAGCAAGGTCTTCAAGGAGTTTGTGTTCTAGAGAAAGGAAACAACAAGGTTAAGTACACGCTGGTATGAGAGCACTTAGAACAGCAGAAGGGCCACCCAGTCCAGATTTGGGAGCTCAAGTCAGGCTTGCAGAGGAAATGACTTATTTTTAAGGTTAAAAAAAAAAGTCACCAAGGTCTGTGAGTTGAGAAGGAGCTAACAACCGGGGACGGGGTGGGGCGGGGGGACAGGCAGAGGCCACTGTGCTTGCAAAGATCCAAAGGCCAAAAAAGCATGTTTCTGGGAACTGAGTTCTAAGGAGTATCCAGAACAGATTGGGGAGTGATTTTGTGACCTAAGAATGAATTAATATGGCAATCTTCACACACACACAGATTAAAAATGCATTTGAGGATTATAGAACACACATAGGTTATAGGGGAAAATTATGATGGAAATTTTTTTTAATTTTATTTCATTTTATTTTATTTATTTGAGAGAAAGTGAAAAAGATCGAGGAGAGGGGTAGGAGAGGGAGAAGCAGGCTCCCTGCTCAGCACGGGAGCTCAATCCCAGGACCCTGGAATCACGACCTGAGCCAAAGGCAGGCGCCCAACTGACTGAGCCATCCGGGCACCCCATGATGGAAATTCTAAAATGCTTAGAACTGAATATGATAATGAAAATACTAAATATTAAGACTCGTGGGACACAGCTAAAGGGAAACTTAAAACTTAACTTCCATACTTACTTACAGATGATAGGCTGACAGTAACCTAAACATCTGCCTCAAGAAGTTGGAAAAAGTGTGCCTGCGTGGCTCAGTTGGTTAAGCCTCTGCTTTCGGTTCAGGTCATGATCCCAGGGTCCTGGGATCGAGCCCTGTGTGGAGCTCTCTGCTCAATGGAGAGCCTGCTTCTCCCTCTCCTGCTCTCCCTACACTCTCTCTCTCTCTCTCTCTCTCTCTCAAATAAATACATAAAATCTTTTAATAAATAAATGAAAAGTTTTAGAAGTTCAAAAGTTTTAAAAGAAGTTGGGGGAAAAAATCACCCCAAAAAAAAAATAAAAAGAGCAAAAATAAAAAATGTTAGACAATTTAAAGTATATAACTAGATACTACAGAAGTTTAAAAACAATATTAGGAACAATTTTATGCCAATAAATTTGAAACCAATAGTTTCCTAGAAAATATAACACAAGAAAAAAATTAAAATCCGAATAGGCTATAATAAAGTGAATCAGTAGTTTAAAAACCCACTTATGACAAAAAATACCAAACCCAGATGGCTTCATGAGAGGAAAAAAATAGAACCAGATCCTGTAGGACCCTTAAAGCCCCATTAAGGAGTTGGGACTTTATCTTAATTATAATTAGGAGCCACTAAAAGATTTTAAGCCGGAAGATGACGTAATGAGCTTTGCATTTTTGAATGATGACTTTGCATGCAAAGCCACAGATGGATTGGAGTGGGATCCAGGTTGGAGACTGCTATAATAATCCACTTAGCAGATGCTGGGAGCCTGGATTAGGGCAATGGCTGCAGAGTTGGAGTAGCTAACAGAATTGGGAGATATCTACGTCAGGCCGGGGGGGTGGGTGTGGGGTCATGTAAGTTGGAGGATGATGAGGGAGAGCGAATAATTAAGGATGACACCCAGATTTCTGTTTAGGTAACAGAGTATATGGTAGTGCTCCTCTGTGGAAATGGGAAACAGAACCAGGTGTGGCTGGAGAAAGAGGAGGCTTCTTTGACATGCTCAGGTGCCTAAGACATCCCGGTAGAAATGTCTGATGGGTGCTCAGGTATATGGATCTGGACCCAGGGGCACCTGGGTGGCTCAGTCAGTTAAGCGTCTGACTCTTGGTTTCGGCCTAGCTCATGATCTCAGGCTCGTGAGATTGAGCCCCACATCCGGTCAGTGCTCAGCCGGGAATCTACTTGAAGATTCCCTCTGCCCCTTCCCCCACTCACGTGCTTGCTTGCTCTCACTTGCTCTCGCTCTCTCTCAAATAAATAAATCTTTAAAAAAAAAAAAAAAAGAATATATGAAACATTAACTTTAAAAAAAAAAAGGAATCTGGACCCAGGAAAGGGATCTAGGGTGGAGATATGGTATAGGAATCCATCCTAAAAACCTGGGTTCTCCCAAGTTCAAGGCCAACTAATCACAAACACATAAAGTCTGACTTATCTTCCCAACTATAAAGTACTAACACCAGCTCCATGTCTTCCCTAGGGAAAATTAGGAGTAAAGATCATTCAAGTGAAAGGACTTTGAATCAAAGAACCTGTGCTTGGTGGGTCACCTATGAGGAGACAGGTTTGGTAGAAAGGGCTGCCCAGAGTGCTTGGGTGGCTCAGTGGGTTAAGCCTCTGCCTTCAGGGCGCCTGGGTGGCTCAGTGGGTTAAAGCCTCTGCCTTCAGCTCAGGTCATGATCTCAGGCTCCTGGGATCGAGCCCCACATCGGGCTCTCTGCTCAGCAGGGAGTCTGCTTCCCTTCCTCTCTCTCTGCCTGCCTCTCTGCCTACTTGTGATCTCTGTCTGTCAAATGAATAAATAAAATCTTAAAAAAAAAAAAAAAAAAGCCTCTGCCTTCAGCTCAGGTCATGATCTTAGAGTCTTGGGATCGAGTCCCGAATTGGGCTCTCTGCTCAACGGGGAACCTGCTTCCCCCACCTTGCCTGTCTCTCTGCCTACTTGTGATCTTTCTCTGTCAAGTTAAAAAAATAAAACTTTTAAAAGAAAGAAAGGGCTGCGTGTGCTCTGTGCTGTCCTCCAGTCTCCAGCCCCGCCTAGGTGTCAAGACCTCCTTTTTCTCTAGGGGAAGTGAGAAGGCAAAAGACTACAGCAGAGATCCGAAGATGTGATGGGAAAATATTTATGCATTCATTCAACAATTTGTTGAAAATCAAATTGAATATTCAATCACCTGTCAGTCTTTCACGCACAGGTGAATTTCCACTATCTTCGGTGTGAGGTTTAGGTTTTCTTCTTTCTTTTCCCATATGTGAACATTCATATGGTTCCAAGATCAACCCCAACATTAAAAGGTGTACAGGGGTGCCTGGGTGGCTTGGTCAGTTGAGCATCCCACTCTTGGTTTCGACTTGGTTCATGGTCTCAGGGTCGTGGGATCGGGCCATGCATCAGGTGTCAAGCTCAGCGCAGAGTCTGCTTGTCCCTCTCCCTCTTTTCTTCCCCCTCCGCTCTCTCTCTCACAGATAGATAGGTAGATAAAATCTTTAAAAACAAAAAAGGCATACGTTGGAAAGCCTCCCAGCCATTCCCACAGCTGCATAGTATTCCATTGTAAACCATGGTTTAATCAATAAGAGTAGTTTCTCAGGGAAAGATTCTGGAGCCTGGAGCTCTCTGAAGGGCTTGGTGGGTCACATTTGGAGGCAGCAAGGGACACTGGGGAACCAAGGAGCAAAAGAGCAAAGGACAGGGAGTGGGGGATACTCCACTGACTCGGCAATTCCTCCTGAAGTTTTCGGCAGGAATTTAGCCCCTTGGCTAGTTCAGGGAAACTCTGAATAAAATGTTTAGAGAGAGAAAAACCTGTCTCTAGGATTCACTTACTATTCATTTGTTTGAGCCCATAGTAGGTATCAGGCCCTGAGCTCAGGCCATGGGGAACATAAGGGCAAAATCTCCATCTTGATTTTCCTGGAAACAGGTGTGCCAGCTGTGGAGGGCAGTGAAGGTGAGGGTCCATGGAGAGGCCAGACTGACGGAGGAGGAGGTCCCTTCGCAGCCTCAGATCTTGCCTCAGATGTCATCGAGGATCCTACACACACAACTAGCAACTTCCCCTCCCGAGCCTTGTCTGTTGTACTTGCCACACTGTGCTCTCATTAATATCGAGCTCCCCTATTAGACTGTGAGCTCCCCAAGGTCAGGCACTGTCCTTTAGTCATGATGCATTCTGAATCCCTTGAGTTCTGGACAGTGCCGGGCTTCCCATATACACATCTGGCTGTTAATTCTACTTTGGGGCTCCTGGGTGGCTCAGCCATTAAACATCTGCCTTCGGCTCAGGTCATGATCCCAAGGTCCTAGGATGGAGCCCCACACTGGGCTCCCTGCTCAAGGGAAAGCCTGCTTCTCCCTCTTCCTCTCCTCCCTGCTTGTGTTCCCTCTCTGTCAAATAAATAAATAAAATCTTTTAAAAAATTAATTCTACCTTTTCACAGAGATGGAGGTGAAGCTGAGCCTGGAAGAGCAGGTTAGCTTGGCCAGATGGGAAAGATAACTTAGGAGGACAGGCAGATAGATAGGACTGGGGAGAAATGTCTTAGAGGAGATGGGGAGGGGATGATAGAGGAGATTAAAGCATAGTTAAGGTCGGACTGAATTCTTGGTGTCCGCAGAAGCGAGAAATATGGAAGCTGGTGGTCATCCAACACAAAGACAGTGTCAGCTCTAGAAGCAAAATGAGGAGACGCTGAGAGTCATTTGCAGATTGATTTCCCCAGTGTCTTCTCCTGGGTATCTGTGGAGGCAATTAAGGACTTTTTTCCCCTCTCTTTCAATGAGCCTTGTCCTCCCACAAATACTGGGATCCCAGCTAGTCAGGAGAGACATTTCCAATTTTTCCCTCAGATCAAAATCATGACATCTTGGCTTCAAGAACTATCAAGGAGAAACTGTAATTCCAACCTGGCATACCAGTTCCATTTTTAAACAAAATCGATAAACCAAGGACCATAATGCTTAACTTGAACTGAGCAGGAGTGTGGCTCCCTTCCTGGCCTTTGGACTGAGAAGGACCCATAGAAAGTCGAATTGCCTCAAGACAAAAAGTACACCCAGTTTGAGATCTAGAAGAAAGGTAAGGCTTAACAACATGGAGGCTAGTCGGATCAGCATTGAGGTACAGTTTATAATCCTTCTGAAACAACAAAGGCTTCCTGAATTGAAACAATTCCGAACCCCAGCTCAGCTGCAGAGAGGAAGGAGAGGAATGCAGAAAAGTCCTACCACATACACAGGCTCAGCCTGTCTCTCCAGAGCCTTACTGCTCCAGACCCTGCCAACCAGGCCAAATAACCGACTACAAACTCAAAATTTAAGTAAGGTTTTGTCCTTTATATGTGTTGCTGGAAAGGAGAAGACGGCTCACCAGCCAGTAGCTGGGCGATCATTCCTTAACACAATGAAATTGCAGGCCTCTTTTTCCACAAGTGCCCTCTTCACAAAGTGAAGGACCTGTGGTCAGCCAGAGAAGAGGGGCCTCGGGATACTCAGGAAATGGAAGAGGAGACTTCAGGGTACTTAGCGGAAGAGGGGAAGATGGGAAATTGGGCGTGGCGGTCCTAGATCAACACACCTCACAAAGGCCATCTGAGAGGGGTCCTAGTGTTTATCCACTAACATATGCTAGAGACCTGTCAATCTGTGGAGGCCTTTTCTCCAAGGGTAGGGTTCTCTTCCGAAGGAGGGGCTGATTTCTTCGCCACCAGGCTATTCTCTCGCAGGCCAGCTGGCAGTCCGAAGGGTTTGCCCTTAGGAAGGGAACTGAGGGGATGGAAAGGAAGCTGGACGTGAAGAGATTTCCAAGGAATGAGCATGTGGAGCCAAGGATGCCCTGCTTCTTATGACACAGAGAAAATAAAACCTACTTGTAAAGAAGGTCCTTATGTTCTCACTTCCAAATTTACCGGCTGCCCTGCGTGTACCTAGCACACCGCCTTCCCTCCCGAAAGCCAAAGAGGCGTCCACACAGCTGTCTAAGGCCATCCCCTCACTGGTGCCCCAGATCCCCCACCGACTGCTGTAATTGTCTCCCCTCTCCTCTGCATCACCAACATTTCTTGACCACTTACATGATTCCTATCCCAGATTTAAAAAAACAAAACCAAAAACTTCTCCACGTTCCTCTCCACCACCAATCCACTTCTTCCTCACCCTCAGTCTCTCAAATTCATTCCTAGCAGGTTTTCACCTTTACCATCCACTGACAGCAACCTTGTCAAGGTCACCACTGACCTCCACATGGTCACATCCAGGGGTTGTTTCTCAGTCATCCTGCTGCTTGGCCTCCCCACAGGGTTTGCCAAAGTTGGACCTCGCCCTCCCTCTTGAAACATTTACTTCACTGGACTTCTGAGAACTCATTTTCTTACTTACAAGCTGCTTCTTCATTCTCCTTTCCTGGTTCCTCTTCCTCTCCCAGACCTGTAAATAAGCAAGCCACAGGACTCAGTAATCAGACTAATATTCTTTCCTATCTACCCTCTCTTCCTCGATGCATCCAGGGCCAGAACTGTAAATACCATTTACCTGCCCTTGTCCATTTGTCCCAGAGCTTTAATACCATCTGTTATCTTCCAAAATTGTATTTTCATCCCCATCTTCTTCCCTAAACCCTACAAATATGCAGCTTCCTACTTGACATCTCCACTTGACTCTAAAAGGCATCAAAAACTTAACACACTCTGAATCAGACATCTAAGATCCCCTCTACCAAACTGCTCCTCTCCGTCTTCCCCCGGATTCTCCAGTTTCAGTAAAGGCAGCCTTTGTTCTCACACTGACCAGTCCAAAACCCTGAAATCTATTCTCAACTCCCCTCTTCCTCACATCCCACATCCAATCCACTGGCAAACTCGTTTGATTTGTGTCTTCAAAATATATCTAGAATTTGACTACTTCCCACCACCTCCACCATTGCCCTGCTCCGAGTTACCAGTAATTCTCACCTGGATTATAGTAGTAGCCTCTTACCAAATCCTGTAGGAAAGTCCAGTAGAAGGACGAGAAGTGACCAGTGGAGTTGGCAATGTGGGTAACCTTGACAAGACTGCTTTCACTGGAGTGGCAGCCTTGAAAGAAAGCCTGGTAGAACGGATTCCTCTCTGCAGTGTAAATCTACGTGCTCCTCGTTGATCCTGTAATAACTCACCAAGAAAATTTCCGTGTCAGAGCCTTTGCAAACTCTTCCTTCTGCCTGGACCATCGTCCCTCCAGAGAGTCGTATCTGGAGTACCTGCTCTTTCTCCTGAATTCAGATTTGTTAAAATGCTAGCTTCTCAGAGAGTTTTCTGATCAGCCTATTTAAAATATCGCCCACTGGGGCTCCTGGGTGGCTCAGTGGGTTAAGCCTCTGCCTTCCACTCAGGTCATGATCTCAGGGTGCTGGGATGGAGCCCCGTATGGAGCCCCGCATCCAGCCCTAATGGGGCTCTCTGCTCAGGGGGGAGCCTGTTTCTCCCTCTCCACCTACTTGTGATCTGTCAAATAAATAAAATCTTTAAAAATAAAATAAAATATCACCTACCACTCTCTATTTCCTTTTTTCTTTATTTTCTTCATAGCATTTGTCACTATCTGAGTATTTCGGTCTCCCTCCTACCCCCCCCTCCCACACACACACACACTAGAATGTAAGTTCTATGAGGGCAGGGGCTTTGTTTTGTTCATCACTGTACACCCAACCTCGCAGTATCTCTGGAACGAATAAATAAATGACCTTCGTCTCAAACTCACAGAGTTACTACCAAGAACGTGCAAGCATATGCAACTTTAAGACCTCCTAATAGGACCCTCTGGAATCCAGGAATGTCGGGTGTGCACCTTCGTTAATACCTCTCCTACCCGTCCCCCTCTTAGAAGACATACGGTAGCACTTCCGCCCTCGCTCAACTCTCGCTCAAGTCTCGGAAAAGGAGGGGCGAGGGGTTTGTGTCATCATCCTGCGCCCGCCTGCCCCGCGACGTGCCGGCTGCTGGCGCAGCCCTCCGCTCGCCCGGCCTCCCCCTCCCTGGTTCCGCGCTCTGGTTCCGCCATGGAATCCAACAAGGATGAAGCCGAGCGCTGTATTAGCATCGCCCTCAAGGCCATCCAGAGCAACCAGCCCGACCGGGCGCTCCGCTTCCTGGAGAAGGCTCAGCGGCTGTACCCGACGCCGCGAGTTCGCGGTAAGTGTGAAGTGCCGGAGAGGCAGAGGGGACATTGGAACTGATGGGGGGGAATACGGGAACGGACCGAAGGGAGCAGTTGGAGGAGGGGGAGGGGTAGCGAGGCGCGGCTACGCCTGCGCACTGAGACGCGCGGTGGCCGCTGGGAGGTGTAGTCTTTCGCTCCCACGCCTCTCCGGGACGCTGGACACCTGATGACAGGGACGGCCGCGACTTCAACTTTTTGGGCGCTTGTGGAACGCTCTAAAATTTGGAGTTACCGAGAATGAGAGGCGCTGGCGGGCGAGAGGAAGGGAACTTATCTGGAAGCGATATCGAACTACTTTTCCCAAGGGGCCATTCGGTGGCCGAGGGCCGGTTGCCGGCCTGGGAAGTATTATAGTTTAGGAAAATAAACATAACTCCTCTGAAGGAGAGAATGGGTTCTGGGGAGGGAAAGGGGACTTCTCACCTTCCCACGGCCTGGAAAGGCGTCTTCATATCTTCACTCTCTGGCATGTCACTTTCGGGCGAGGGCAGGGAACACCCTCCCGAAACTAGAACCTGCCTTTTTCCCTCGCTCCACACCACCGCCCTGCGCCCGCCGCCCTGAAGGCTGTCCCCTCACTCCTTCTTGGAACCTCTTCACCCGGTTGTGAGATTCGGGGCTTGTTGAAGACTCTGGCCCCGTGCACCCCACCCACCCTTGCCCACAAGAATCCAGCAGTGGCCCCCGTGTGGACAGCACAAGGCTGCTAAGTGTCCCCGAGCTGGGACTTAGAAACCAGGGAGGGATTCGTGAGGTTGTCTCAACTACTCAGCATTTCACTCTAGCCAGGAACCGTCTTTTTCTTTAATCTAAAACTTAAGAAGTTTTTCTTAACCCAAGCTGGAAGGGAGAAAGATAATCCAGGGGCACCAGGATAGCTCAGTGGGTTAAGCGTCGGTCTTTGGCTCAGGTCATGATCTCAGCGTCTTGCAATTGATCAGGCATGAAGCTCCCTACTCCCTCTGCTCCCCCTCCCCTGCTCCTGCTCTCTCTCTCAAGTAAATAAATAAAATCTTAAAAAAAAAAAAAAAGTCCATTAAAGATACAGAGATCATACCAGCAGTTAAGACACTGGTGTGTACAGGTACTCCGAATCAGAAGATCTAAGTTCTTGTCCTGAGTGCTACCGTGCGATCTTTCTGAGCTTGGGTTTTCTTAGCCGGGAAATTAGAGGGTTGGTGCAGATAATGTGAGTAACAATAATACCATAGAGCTTCTCTGTTTAGAAAGCTCTTTTGAGGGATGCCTGGCTGGACCAGTCCGCAGAGCATGCAGCTCTTGATCTTGGGGTTGTTAACTGCAAGCCCCATGTTGGGTGTAGAGATGACTTAAAAAAATAAGTAAATCTTAAAAAAAAAAAAAAAAGAAAGAAAGCTTTTTCAAATACATTTTCTCACTTGAGCCTGCCCTATCAGGGAGGCAGAGCAAAGATCTTTGTTCTATAGATGAGGAAGAATCTCAGAGGCAAGGGACTTGCCCAAGAATACACAGCTAGAAATTGGAAAGTTCTGTGACTCTATAAATGTTTAATAGAGGAACAAAATGAGAGAGCAATCAGCCTCCTAACCTTCTTTGCCCACATTTGGAACTGAGAAAGGTGAACACCGGCAGAAGAGGCCACCTGGAACACTTGGATTTTCCTCCTTCCTGACTACAGGTTGATCTTTGGCCTCTTTGCCTTCTCTTGGAGAGGGTTTCAGTCTGTATTTGCCAGAGCTCCTGAGGTAACCTGCCCAAGGAGCTTCCCTATGAAATAAATCACACTCTGTAAGAGGGGAGCCTAGGCGGGTGGGCAGCTAGAGGCCTGCCAGTCTCAGAATCCTGTTTGATCCTGATGCTTCTGGGGACTCAGGAGCAGGTAGCCAAGGAAGGATGGTAACAACATGACCTTTAGGGCTCTTCTTGTCGGCAGCCTCCTGGGCCAGTTTGGAGGCTTAGACTGGTGTTCTTCCCCAGGCTCAAGAAATGGAATTTGCTCAGGCAGAATAGTCACCTGCATGATTGTCGTATTCCCGCTATTGTGGAGAGACTATGCCTCATGCCTCTCTGTAAACTTGACCTTGCACCCTCTGTAGCCCTATACTGAACTGACAAGGACCTGGGGTTAATGTAGGCCTGGGATGGAGAAATCTTAGTTAAAAAAAATATTAGGTAGTTGTTTACACTTGCTGTGTGAGGTTTGAGCTCATTCCAGGTGCTTATTCAATGCTGCAGACTTTGTTTTATTTGCAGGGTCCTCTGCTTGGGGCTAAGTGCATATATGGCAGGATCGGTAAGACATGATCCTTCACCTCAAGGAGCCTGTCATTTAGCGAAGGAGACACAGTTAACAGAAAAAAGGAGGCACAGTGTTAGATAACAAGGCCTGAAGAATAGACATGAAAGATGCAGTCCCTGCCCTCCGTGGGTCTGTGAGCTGGCGTGGAGGGCTGGGCATGGAGCTCTGAACTCTGAACTACCAGCAGTCTCGTGAGAGACTTAAAAATAACGGCAGCACACAGGTGATGGAGAATAATGGTAGATCACAGTGAGGGAAAGCTTTAGGGGAGGAAGACAGAGGCAGCATTTGAACTGCACTTTGGAGGAAGGGAACAGACTTGGAGAAGGCCATACTGGGGAAAAGACACGGAGGCTGGGAGCTGTGAGGTTTGGGGGAGAGGGTTGGGTGGAGCAAGATTTGGCAGCTGTGGAGGTGGTAATTTGAGTATAAAGAGGATTAAGGCTGGAAAGTAGGATGGGGCCGGATTGTGGAATTCCTTTCCTGCCAGACCAGGATATTCACTTTATTCTGTAGTTGGTGAAAAGACCATTGAAGATTTTGAAAGCAGGACGAAGACAAGGGTACCGTTCTTAAAAGAGAACAGCATGAAGGGTTAATGAAAGGGAAGAGAGACTGGAGTCGGAAACCGTTTGGGAGCCCATTCATTGCAGTGAGTGGGTCAGGAGTTCCGAGCGCCTGAGAGAAGGCAGTCCAGGTGAGGATAAGGTCCTTGGGGAGGAGGCACCGTGCCTTGTGTGAGAGAGGTATGCTGAGGAGAGGTGGGGGCGCAGAATCCAAGCCCGTGTGCCCGGGGAGAAGGCAGGGCTGAGGATGGTGGGTGGGAAGAGACGGGCAGAGTGCAAGGTGCCAGTGGCTGTTGCAAAGGAGCTGTCAGCTTGGAGCTCGGGAGAGAGACCTAGGTTCCAGCTGAAAGTCTGGTCATGTCCGTTTGACGGCGCT